CTTTTCTGTTAAAACATTAACAGACTGGCTGGATGTTCCTTTTGGCTATATTTAAAGCAATCTAGGTAGCTTCTTAACTATTTTTGAAGGGATTTAAGTATCCTTTTAATCATATAAGCAGTTCATACTCACACATTCACAATCACATGTCATACATACCAGTGTAGCCACACCGTACATTCAGAACATACATGCATCTTTTGGTCATCCTTTTTTCCTAGGTCATGATTAGTCTGTTGAAATGAAACTTCCTTAATTTAAATCTATGTAAAGGAACAACTCCAGCCAATCCTTGAACTAAAAAGGTTAAAAAGTCCTGTATGCCCTTCATCATTCCTCCATTTGAGCAACAGTCATGGGGTACAGCCGTACCTTACTCCTTGTAACTCCGTAGATGCAAGGTGGAGAGGCCAGGCTTTTGGCCAAAGGTTTTTAGAGATGACTCACAAAATACAACTTAAATGCAAACAAAATTTTCCATTCCATATACCTTTGTCTTTTTCTTTTTCTTTACTTAATACCAGTACCTCTTTACTGTTACCTTTTTTTTTTCGAAACAGGGTTTCTCTGTATTATTTGGAGGCTGTCCTGGAACTCGCCCTGTAGGCCAGGCTGGCCTTGAACTCAAGAGATCTGCCTGCCTGTGTCTCCTGAGTACTGGGATTAAAGGCGTATGCCGCTGGTATTAAAGGCATATGCCACTGGCAATCTCTTGGGTTCCCTTCTTTCCTGACCTTGGTCAGACTAAGGCCTAGAGATTTAATCTAGGAGATAATAAATATTTTTAATAAAACAGAGATTCCCCTTTAGGAGGGGGAAACTCAGAATGTTTAGTTTCTGAGTTTTTAATCTCTCATTGGCAGCAGCCGCTCCCAATGTATTATTGGTGCTATAAAAATTGATGAACAGGGAGCTGGAATGACTAACTGGCATCAACATGGGGGGGATCCTCACCAGCGCCCATATTTCCCTTACCTAAGTCTTCAGCAATGGTTGGATCATCTTTATCATGGTGAGCATTCCTAGTATCCAGAGTAGTATTGGGGTCGACATGCCTGATGCACCGTTTGGGGACCCAAATGGGCTTCTCATTTCCTGGAGGGAAAACACAAATAGCCCCTCAGACCCTAGCTAGTAGGGGAGTGGGTGGCTGCCATTTTCCTGTAATCAAATCCTTCCATCTGACCCATCCCAAAGACTGGGAGGGTTTGTTCAAATTTCTCTCCATAGCAGACAAATTATTACAGTCTATGGTCAAAAAATTTAAAATGTAAAGTATGGTGGATAACTGAATATTGGGGGAGGTAACATACTCCCCCCCTTTTTATTTTCTTAAAATATTGTTTGAGAGTGGCATGGGTGGGCTCCACAATGGCCTGTCCCGTGGGGTTGTGAGGAATACCAAAAGAAAGGACAATGTGATGTTCCCTGCAAAAGGCAGCAAAGCGATTGCTGGCATAGGCAGGGCCATTGTCTGTTTTTAGGGCATCGGGAACGCCCATGTAGGCAAAGGCCTGCAGTCAATGAGAAATAACGTCTTTAATCTTCTCTCCTGAGTGGAGAGAGGCAAAAATCAGTTTAGAATACGTATTCACCGAGACATGCATGTATTTTAATTTCCCTGCCTGTGGCAGGTGAGTGACATCCATTTGCCAGAGATGGTTGGCCCTGAGGTCCCGGGGATTTACCCCCTCATTGGGATAATTATGATAAGGGGCACAATCAGGGCACTGAGAGGTAATTTGTATAGCTATGGATAAGGGGCACCCAGTGTGAAATTTAATGGAGCGGGCATTTAGATGATACCGCTCATGGAGCTGGTGGGCCAGCTGCTCCTGAGTAAATAAGACCCTAGGGCGGGTCAAGGAGTCAGCAATTTGATTGCCCTGGGCAAGGGGTCCTGGAAGGTTAGTATGTGCACAAATAAATCCCACATAAGCAGGGTAGATGCGCTGCCAAATAAGATGTTGGAGCTGAACTAATAAAGAACGAACCTGGGAGGTTGGAAGAACATATGGAGAAGTTTCTAAAGGTCTAACAATGTTGGCAACATAAAAACTATCAGTATATAAATTAAAGGGCTCTCCCTCAAACATTTGGAAAGCCATCAAGCAAGCAAACAACTCTGCGGCTTGTGCTGACATCTGCCCTATGGGTACCCTCTTCTGCACCTGAGAAGAAACCACCACCGCGAAACCCTTGGAGGAGCCGTCTGTAAAGACTGCGCAAGCTCCAACTAGAGGGTTCTCCTTTAAAATCTTGGGAAAAATCACAGGGTGTTGTTTAAAAAAAGACATCAAGGGGCTATTGGGATAATGGTTATCAACCTGAGCGCCTGTAGATGTAATAAACAGGGTCCACCCATCATGGAAGATCTGTAGATGTTCCACCTCCTCCTTACCATAAGGAAGGATAATTTTATCAGGATTCTTTCCAAAGGTTTGAATGCCCTGGATGAAGTTCCCATCAATGTCCCTACAGATCTGGATATAGTCATTTAGACTTTTATTGCGATAGGGGCGAAGGGCTTCCTTACAATATTTATTTGCATTTTCAAAAGCCATCTGCTTGATGACTGGCATCGCAGGCCCAATGCCCCCAAATATTCTTTCTGCTACCTGACTGAGACGGTCTACGAAGTCTTGGAAATGTTCAGAGGGTCCTTGAAGGACTTTGGACAGATGATCCCCTCCTTCCTTGGAAGGCAATGCTTTCCAAGCCCCTTGGGCCGCTGCTGCCACTTGGGCATAGACTGCGATGTCATATTGCATTTGTTGCTGAATGGTGGCATATTGACCACTCCCGGTAAGCATCTCCACATTTCTCTGGGGCTGTCCAGCCTGTGCATTTCTTTGGGCTGTCTGGCTGCATCTTTCCTGAAACTCACCCCTCCAAATCAAATAATCTCCCCCTGATAGAGTCGCTCGGCAAAGCTGCTGCCAATCACTAGGTGTCAAGTTAAGAGACACAAAAGATTCCATTAAGGAAAGTGTAAAGGGAACCTGCACTCCATAATTTAAAGTTGCCTCTTTAAGTTGTTTTATATCTTTAAAACTTAAAGGGTTGTGACGCTAAATGACCTGTCCAGAATTGTTCGGGTCTGGAGCTTCTATTACCGGGGTCACCACTGGGCAGTATTGGACCCCTCCTTTGGGTCTTCCCTCCAGGTCGGAGAAGGACTGGGTTATATCATAGGAGGAGTCCCTTTTTTCAGAGTATGGAGAAGGGTTTCTCTTCCTGTTCTGTCTTTCCTTAATTCAAGTATTTTTTAGTTCTTTTTTAAGGACCGCGATCTCAGTCCTTTTCAGACTGTGACGAGTCTGAGTCTGAGCTACATCCATTTTCTGGGTCTGATAGAGAAGGATATAACCGATTCTGACCGGAGTTCTTCTGTTTGGGTCGTGCCCGGAGACCACTACATGTTTTTTGTTGTTCCTAAGAGACTCATCCTCATCCTCACTAACAATGGAGCCTCTAGTTTCAGTCAGGGTCTCTTCAGATGATTCATCATCACTCTCTGCCCCTGAACTCAAGGAGGCTTGAGTCTCTGTCTCTTGTAACTCTAAAAAAGCCTCTTTTGTGTCCTGAACTACCTGGCGATGACGAACCTTATATGTCAAAAGTGCACCCCTTACTAATCTCCATAAGGAGAATGTCGTAGGGGGCAAGGACTAAGATCCCTGTTTTCGTAAAAGTCTATGAAGATCACGGCGAACCTCCTCCCAATCTGGGATATTTAAGCTTCCCCCAGTAATGAACCATGGACTGGCTCGTTCAATGGATTTTAGAAAGCCTTCTAGGGTTTTAGACTTGACTGCAGTCCCATGTCCTTTAAGTAACTTTTTAAATTGATACTGTAATGATTCTAGCTTCCCGGAACTATTCCCCATCGTTTCTTAACCCTGTCCACTTACCTCGCTTTCACGATCTCAGTGGAACCTCCAATTGCCGCATCCGCTGCTCAGTCTGTGTCCGAGAATGTGCGGAGGGTGTCGGGGATTGACAACACAGACCCCAAAGGCTCCTCAAGAAGGCTCTCTTTTATTCCTATTCTGGCTGGTTATTATATACCCTGACACCAGAGGTAGAGGTGGGTGGGTCTGAAGAGGCGGATAGTCTTTGGAAAAGGTCGAGGTCAGGGTGGTTCCCGTGGGCCAGCCCTTTTCAGGAACTTATTGCCCCGGGCATTGTATTGTTTTTAGTAAACATGTTTTTAGTAAACATTGTCTTACAGCTACCTACTCCCAGGCTGATGGGGAAGTGGGTCTCTGAACAAGGTCTGGTGTTCCCACAACTTAACAGGACCGCCTTTGTTCTTTCCCCTGGTCTTACATCGTCATAGGTGTCCAACAAAAGCCAGAGCTCTCCTGCAGATGTGCGTCCAATGCCTGAACATCGTTAATTAATTAGTAAACTTGGGTTTTGCCTTGATTCATCTTTTAGCTGGAGAATTTATGAGTAAATTCTTTTAGTCGCCTATGGGCCTGAAGTAGCAAAGCCCTGATAGAACGTGCCTCAGCCACAGGTCTTTTCTTATAGCAGTTCACAATTTTATTATGGGAATGATGCTACTGGAGGTAGATATTTAACATGCCAGCATTTGTTTAGTTTTCTCTTGTGTGTATATATCTCTATATATACTTTAATAGTGAGATCTTACTATGTAGCCCAGGCCAGCCTTACACCTATGACTCTTTTGCCTTAGCCCACTGATTAGCTGGGATTATAGGCTCATACCTGGCTTTAACGTGTCTATTTTATTAGATCTGGTTTTTGCCCTGAGTTAGTTGTGTTCCAGAGGAACGGCAATCCCCACCTGTGTGATAAATGCCTGTTTTCAGTAGAGTGTTGTCTTGTAAGAGGTGTACCTTCATGAAAAAAGAGGCTGAGCCGCTGTTGACTTTGTCTGGGAGCTCTGTGTTTGAATCTACTCAAGACAGTCATGTGACTGTTAAGCAGGCTGTGTCTGCATGCTAACCAGCCCTTCTGTGTGGTTTCAGAGGTGGTGGCCCAGTGGTGTACACAGGGAGACTTACTGGCAGTTGCTGGGATGGAGCAGCAGCCCCAGCTCAGCGAGCTGCCCAACGGTCCTCTTCTGAAGTGTGCCGTGGTCAAGTTCTACAATGTTAGAGGGGAGCACATCTTCACACTGGACACGCTGGTACAGGTGAGGACACTTGAAATGCCAGTTGCTATGCTCCATCTTTAGTAAATAATCATAAGTGACTTACTGTAATTACCTTTGGCAAGGTTTTTTTCCCCCCTCAATTGATTCATGTCATGTAAACCAGGGAAATGGGGAAGAAAACATTTTTTACCTTTTAGCCAAAATGCTTAATTCCAGTTTGAAATCAAGTGAGTAGAGAGAAAATAGAGGGATCTGCTTCTGATCTGGACACTTGAGAGGAAACCCGGAGATGACGGACTTTAGGTGTGTGCAAAATAGAAACGTGGAGACTCAATATATGAGCAGCAGTTGTAGAACTGACAGAGCTCTAAGGCAGTCTCAGACCGCACTAGACGGCAGGGTTACGCAAGAGTAGCAGCTGGGGCCCCTTCATAGCAGGTAGATAGGAGAGGATGGGAAGTTTTTCAGTATTTCTAAATTCATAAGACTTTTGTGTTTAATTGGGTATTTGTGAATGCAGCCTGAAACATAGCTCATGATTCTGTCCCAGAGACTGTGACCCAGCAGCATTCTGGATAGAGAAGTCTTGCTCTGCTTTCGTAGTTCAGAGAACTGCACCCTAACACCTACTGCATAATGTGCGCTTTCAAATCTGTCCAAAAGTTTTGACCTTCTTTTCACCGAACCCTTGTAGTGTAGAATGCCTCTAGCATGTATTACTTTACTGTCTCACTTTCTTTAAGCCAAGGCATGTTTTCCTTGATTTTCTTTTCGTGTTGTGCCCTGCTTGGACCGTGCAGAAGCACTGCAGCTCTGCTTTCTCCTGTCCTCCACTCCTTCCCCTGGGTGGGGCACCCTTGCTCGTACCCCACCCAACCTGTGGGTTCTTTCCTGCCGTAGAAAACTAGGTCATTGGCCAGTGCTCTCTGTGGAGCCTGTCTCTCCTGTCCTGTTGTCTTATTGTAAACATGCTTTGTTGTTGTTTGTTCAGTAGAATAGCCTAGACCTAAGGGCTAGGGAGAGAGTGGGATTCATTACTTCTGAGTGACAGGTATTTGAGTTTCTGAGTGAGGTAGTACATGTTCTTCAGGCTGTTTGTTGTATCAGGACACCAGTACTTAGGAGAGGTGGCCACTCGTAGTAAGACAAGCAGTAGCTGGACGTACATTACCCAGCTCTCTTGATTTCACTTTCCTCCGGCTTTAACGGGAACAGGAGTGCCTGTGTGACTGCCGAGAGGACTTAGGCAATACGTGTGAGCACTTATTGTGACTCCAGGCTGTAGTGGGGTCTGAAGATGTGCTTCCTTTGTTAAAATGGATGGCGATTGGAACTTTCCCCTCCTGGACAGTCTGGATTAGTAGTGTAAATTCTTGGTATAAAGAAGAGATGCATGATTAGGATAACTTTCTATCTGACGTATAATCAGCCATCACACAGAGACTTCCTGGAAAGCAGGAGTAGGAGAGAGGACAGGAGTCTGCCTCCTGCAGTCCCAGCACTGCTGTCCTAGCAGATCCATTCATCTATCAGAGAGAGTGGGAAACCACAGGGAAGAAGTTGTATCTCTGCAGCCAGCTCTAGTGTGTCCTGTTATACAAGTCGAGGACTGGTTCTCATGCTGTAAGTCAGCAATGTTACACTGAGGACAGGGCGCGTGCAGAGGTAAAGGGTTAGCCAGTGTCTGTGAAATGAAGGCCAAGGGCCGGGGATTTTGCTCAGTCTTAGTGTGCATCCACAGCAGGATTCCAGTGCCACCAGCAAATAAGTGAGTAAATGTAAGTTTGCTGCTACTAGAGCCTCTGTCCTAATGCGTAGCTGCGGAGCTTAATGGCACATGCACACAGTGTTGGTCTGCTGTCAATGATCAAGCCTTCTGTGAGGTAACAGGGTTCCTCCCTCAATGATCTACCCTCTGTGGAATCACCTTGTTGGAGAAGCCCAGCTTGAAATGTTCTAGAAGCCCTCAGATTTGAGTTCCTGGATCCATAACTAATAAACACATCATCATCTTTGGCTGGAAAGCTGTGGCCTAGCCTCATGGATAAACATACAAGATAAATTGTCTGCAGCCTTGTATCTTGCTTTGAAGTTGAAACTAACATTAGCTGACCCTGCGGGCTATTTTAAGGAATTGTCTTTGTGTGTTCCTTTTATCTTGATGTTTGCTGCCACTAAAGTGTTGTGGAAATTCTGTTCCTATCTGTCATTCATATAAAGGATGCAACATCTCTACTTGTAATCTCTGAGACCTCATCAAATTAGCACACTATCTGTGTGAACAAATCTCTGTTTCTCTGTCACAACCCTTCATGTCTTTTCTGCCTTGCTCAGCTTATGTAATATTCTTACTTAGATAATGCTCTTGAGTTTGAGATTTATTTCAGTGCGAGAAGTTGCTAACATATGCACATTTGGATTGCAGCTTGAGATTTCAGAGATTCTCATAACCCCTAGAGTCTTACCTGGGATCTCTGCTGCCCCAAGTCTCCCTTTTCCAAAGGGAGATGTTTGCCTTTCCTGGCCTGTTGCTTTGAGGATGGTTGAGAGCAGCAATGACCTAGTCCTGAGTTGTAGCTGTAACGGGTCCCAGAGGACCATGGTGCTGCCTTCTCCTGTGATGCTCACAGCGTTCCCATTGGACTCATAAAAAGTGTGAGGCTTAGAGCGGGGGATTTGTCCCAGGGTTCATGTCTGGGGCCCCACATCCATTGTTAGTTTGACCTTGAAATGCTGTCTCTTGGAAAAATTGATTGAAAAAGGTCACATGATTTACCTCTTCATCCCCTTGTAATTCATTGGAACAGCACTGGGTAATTTGAGGATCGAGATGGCCAGCACTGTGTAAGAAGTATCGGTGAGTGTGCCCTGAGTTAGTCACCCCTGCTTTTAGAACCCAGTTCATACATAGCTGGTATTCTTTGCTGTCCTTTGAAAAACCAACATTGTCAAAACTGTCAGAGGACGAAATTTCCTGAAGTAAGTTTAACTGACCCTTGCCCCCCTTTTCCTGGCAGCGCCCCATCATCTCCATCTGTTGGGGCCATCGGGACTCCCGGCTGCTTATGGCCTCAGGACCAGCCCTGTATGTGGTTCGAGTAGAGCACCGAGTGTCCAGCCTCCAGCTTCTGTGCCAGCAAGCCATTGCCAGCACCCTTCGAGAAGATAAGGACGTCAGCAAGCTGACCTTGCCCCCTCGACTCTGTTCCTACTTGTCCACTGCCTTCATCCCCACCATCAAGGTAGCCTTCTCACCCTCCCTGGTCTTCCTTCCTGCCTTTCCACCACGAGAGACTGCGAGATGCAGGGGGAGCCGGGCGGCACAGAGACTGTGCTCTGCCTGTCCGCTTGCCCTTTCTGGGATCCCAGATGTGCTTTTTCTACCTTGTCCTGCCTCTAGCCCCCGATTCCAGACCCCAACAACATGCGAGACTTTGTCAGCTACCCCTCAGCTGGCAATGAGCGGCTGCACTGCACCATGAAGCGAACAGAGGATGACCCAGAGGTCGGGGGGCCCTGCTACACACTCTACCTGGAGTACCTGGGAGGACTCGTGCCCATCCTCAAGGGGAGGCGCATCAGCAAGCTGCGGCCAGAGTTTGTCATCATGGACCCTCGGACAGACAGCAAGTCAGGTGGGCCCTTGCTGCAGTAGCTGCAGCCCTTCTTGTGTGGTTGTGGAATGTCACTCCTAAAGCCATGCAGTGAGAATTCCGGTTTCTGAGACATGCTCTTGTGGAACATTCTGGGAAGTTACTCCATTTCCTGGTTCCCAGCTAAGTGAGCAGTTGTGTAAACGCCCTTGTTGGGCGGTCTTCACAGCATGCGATGTGTGTCAGGGAACGTCAGCTTCCATCCCAGGAAAAGCTACTCCTGCAAGCCTTCTAGTACCAGGGACAGGCCCTCCCGCAGCCGCTGGGCACCTTACTGTAGTGCTGGGGAAGTAGAAAACGCGGTGTCCCTGCCATCCCAGAACAACGACAGAAGCCTCAGGCCTCCTCAGCGCTGGGCTCTTGCCTCTGTTACCTGCTATGTGCATTAGGTTCCCGTGGAAGTTTCAGTAGTTCCAGCATGAATCGACAATCTGTTCTTGTGAAAACCCCTCTTGGGCAATAGTGCCTAGACATGTTAAAGGTGCCTCTCTCTACAGGATCCTAGACTGAGGCTCCCCAGGAAGGGACTGTGGGTTTTATGCCAGTTAGCTGTCAGCCAAATGTCTGTGCACCTGCGAGTGCCTGAGGCTTATAAATCCTGCCACCTCCCTGTGAACCCTGCCACAGAGTGCACAGCACTGGCCTTGGTGTCCATCACCTGTCATAGCATAGTGTCAATTTACTACTTCACTGTTGGACTAGCCTTTGTCTCCCGTGGTGTCCCTGAAGCTACCATAGCACGTGGGACCAAGGTCTCCCTAGTTCTTAAAGCAGTGGCCTTGTTCACCCTCAACCTCCCTTGGCAATGCTAGTATTTACATGTCTTCGCAAAGTGTGTTGGTTAGGCATTATCACAACATCATGGTAGTATTCTCTGCCAATGTCCCCATGTAAAATAAAAAGCAAAAACAAACAAGCAGTTTTCCAATGCTGAATGTTCATCTTTCTACCAAGGGTAGGAGGGAGGAGTAGAATTGTGGGCATGAGGTCAGGAAGCGGGGAGGAAATGGACACTGCACAGAACGGCTTCGGGAGGACAGCTCGCTGATGTCAGGCAGGGTGCAGGGCCAGGCACCTCAAAGCCTGCATCCTTCTCACTGTGCATCTCTCTCCCAGGACCTTCATGGCACAGCTCTAAGAGCGTGGGCTGTGACTGAGTATTAAGGTCTCTTGGGGGAATGCTTTTCTTTCTCCCTGATGTGTCTGAATTCCTTTGCAGAAGGGGCCGCAGCCTCCCAAGGCCAGGCTGACTTACGTCCTGACTTACCTGCCTGGCTGCCTGGTTTTTCTTTTTTTTTTTTTTTTTTTTTGGTTTTTCGAGACAGGGTTTCTCTGTGGCTTTGCAGGCTGTCCTGGAACTAGCTCTTGTAGACCAGGCTGGCCTCGAACTCACAGAGATCCACCTGCCTCTGCCTCCCAAGTGCTGGGATTAAAGGCGTGCGCCACCAATGCCCGGCCCTGGTTTTTCTTAATGTTCATACTGCCAGCTCACTCCAAATACAGACTGCTCAGTTGCTAACACGTTTGAGAAATGAAGTGTTTTATCTTAATAATTTTATAATTTAAAGTTATAAAGTGAATACACAAACACCAAGTCAGTGCCCACTTTTTGTGGTACTTGAGCCCCTGGGAACCCTGAAGAGCACAGGACAGTTTAAGCACTTGAAAAGTTCATCAAATTCAAACACCTCATGACAGAAATAGAACCTGTGTCACAAGGCACAGTATGACTAATTGACAACTAAATGGTACAGATAAAGTATCTCAGAGGATGCAGGTGGTTTGCAATTTTGAAAAGCCAGGACTGTCTCATGACGAGAAGCTATGTAGCCTTGCTAGGCTCCACAACATTGTTTCTCAGGATGGCCCTTGGACCACTACCATTGAAAGCACCAGATAGGTCTATTCTACTGTAAGTCCTAGGCTCACTCTTACATCAGCTGATGAGGTCTGCTTTGGGACCAGGGTTCCTTGGCAGATTTTTATGATTTACTGCAAGGAATTTTCACCAAGTGTCTTGACAATTAGAATTACCATTATGGGGTTGGAAATTTAGCTTGGTCTATACAGTGCTTGTCCAGCACACAAAATCCTGAGTTCAGTGTCCCCATAAACCAGGCATGGTGTGACATGTCTATAATTCTCACATTTCAGAATGAAAAGTAGGAAGATCTGAAGAACAGAGTCACTGTAGCAAGTTCAAGACCATCCTGTCTCTCTGACAGGGAGAGGAAGTCTGAGTGATGTGTAGTTCACACACTTGGAGATATTCCCTGAGCCTGCCTCTTGGTTTGAGTCATGACTAAGCTTCCTTTGGTCTAGTGACTAGTACATTAATTAAATCATAGAAAGCACTGTTCATTGTATGTGGACCAAACCTTTTTATGTGCTCAAACTCTGACACAACACTGTGGCTTGCTAGATATAAAGTATGTGCCACTGCTTTGGTAAATAGCTTTAAAAAGGGGTGACAAGGGACATAAAGTGGGTACCAGCTTCTTTTCTATGTGTTACAAAGAGGCTTCTGTCCACCTGTTACCACCATCTACTCAAAAACTCAGTGACAAATGGAATTAACAAACTCATCCTTTGAAATATCAACATCTGTTTGTTTGTTTTTTCAAGACAGGGTTTCCCTGTGGCTTTGGAGGATGTCCTGGGAACTCGCTCTGTAGACCAAGCTGTTCTCGAACTCAAAGAAATCCACCTGCCTCTGCCTCCCGAGTGCTGGGATTAAAGATGTGTGCCACCAATGCCCGGATAACATGTTTTAAATGTTGGGATCACATCATTTTCTCTGAATTAATTATGTTTGAATGTTGCGCTCTGATTACTTGGTGAGGCTCTTCAGAGAGTGAACCTTTGTCAGCACAACCGTTTGAAGAATGGGTACTGACATTAAGGAAGGCGTAGGCAGGACTGTGGCACACGAGTGTGGGCGGTGGGATCAGAAGAGACCTGTGGTGGCAGGGCGTCTGCTTGTAGTTCTCTGTGTTGTCCACTCGGCACTTTGCCTTACCCTCTATTCTGGGCCCCTGCACCTCCGTCTGCTGGCCAACTAGTGAAGTTCCAGGAATGGCTTCCATGTGGAGTCCTCATAGAACCACCCAAAACTACCAGTGCGAGTCCTCTGCCCAGAGTCTGCCTTTCTCTGACGGGGTCAGCTGTACAAGGTGGAATCGTCAGGCACCAGAGAGCCTGTGGCAGTTCCAGAATTGTCATCCTAAAAAGACTTGCCCAGAGACCTTGACATGGGCCCAACTCGGCAAGATTCCTGCAGGCCTGGATGGCCTGGGCCTTCCCAGGTCAGAAGCAGGTTCCAGTAAATCTATTGACTAGCCCCTCTGCCTAGTTTTCTAGTCTAATTGAAAGTTTACACAAGCCTGGGTAGGTAGTCATCTGAGTGTTCTGAGGCTCAATAGTCAACTTTTTATTCTCAGCTTTTGGCATAGTGAAGAATAGTAGAAATTGTCTACTTCTGCTTAGAAAGGGCATGAAAATGTAAAAGGAAAGGACTGCTTCTTTCTCTTTTAACCTCTGGCCTAATGAGAAAGTCAGTGAAGTCCGCCTGCCCTATATAGCAGTGACAGTTGCTTACACCTGATGTCTGGTGTCTTACAGATGAGGTCTATGGGAGCAGCTTGATTTCTACTGTGGTTGACAGCTGCAACTGCTCAGACTCCAGTGACATTGAACTGAGTGATGACTGGGCTGCCAAGAAGTCTCCCAAAATTTCCAGAGCTAGCAAATCGCCCAAACTTCCAAGGTAACCAGAGGCATCCCTTTGTTTGTGCCTTCAACATGACATGGCATCGTTTGTTCTCAAAGTAGAGTTCCATTGAAGCTGACTGTAATGAGAACTCTGAACTACCTTAGGTCTAGAATGATGCTCAAGTCTAGAATTTTCTCTGCCTAAATTAACCTTGAGAGGATGAAGGAAAGGAAGTTCACACTTGAACAGCAGCAAGATCAATTCCACTTTTGTTTTCTTATCACTTTTCATTCTGGAAGAGTCTGTGTGGAATAGTTACAGCTTTTCTTTCCTCCTGCCTTTCTTTCTCTCCCAGGGTAGAAAGGGGCATGCTAAGGCCTGCAGACTTCACTCAGGTCAGCAGCCGTTGCTTCCCAGCTCCTCTGTTTCCCCTTCAGTTTAAGAAAAGAAAACAAATGTTTATAGTAGACATGTTGCATTGAAGAGAATGCCAAGTTCTATGCCTGTAACGCTGTCTGAAGGCAGAGGGGCCAGTGTCACCACCGCTATATTCCTTCTCTTGTTGTCATGGCTATGTGACTAGACAGACAAGGCTTACCTGTGGGCAGTAACTGACAGACTCTTGCTTGTTTGCAGTTCTGTCATAGCATGCAGAATCAGGTGTGATATACATACCACCTTACACATGCCCAGATGCTCATCTTTTAAACTGCTGGTTCACTGGGTAGCTGTGGACCCAGATACATCCCTCTCTGCATGTCTCACCCATCTGGCCTTGTCTCCACAGGATCAGCATTGAGGCCCGAAAGTCACCCAAGTTGCCCCGGGCTGCTCAAGAGATTTCTCGTTCTCCCCGGTTGCCCATGCGCAAGCCCTCCATGGGCTCGCCCAGCCTGACTCGGAGAGAGTTTCCTTTTGAAGACATCACGCAGGTAGGCGTGCATAGCTAACAGTGGCATCTCCGTGCTGTCTGTAACCATCAGGCTACCTGGGAGCACCGCTCTGCTTCCCAGCGTTCCTGTCCTGCTTACTGCTGCACCTGAGCCGACACAGTGGCTCTAACTTCTGCCTGCTGCCCTGCAGTGGCACTAAAGTTCAGCTCTAGGGAGGGAATGCTGGCCTCAGCCCCACGGCAGCCCCGCCTCCTTCCTCAGCCTTTGTGCTCTGTACCTGTGTTATGCCTGAGTCTCCTCCTCCACCTCTTCCTAACTTTCCTCCACTTCCAGCCCTAGCTCAGTTCATGCCTTCTCTGTGAATTCAGGCTTCTGCCCTGGCCCGGCCCACACATGTGGTGCCTAACCCTTCTGGTGCTCCCTAAACACTTCTTTGTGCTTGAACCATTGGCCCATTGCAGTTTACCCATACCCACCCTGAGCATAGAGGTGCAACAGCGGGATAGCTGGGAGGTTTAAAGACAAAATGCTTTCAGCTCAGCTGACTTCTGCAGAATCTATCAATGATGAAAGGGAGAAATGAGCAAAATGGTGTTCCAATCACTTTGGTGGCCTTTTAACCTTTACAATTTTATTTAACATTGTTTTTGTTATTTCACATTATGTTGTTATTGCTTTGTTATTTTATTAATTTACAAATTTGTTTGTTTGTTTGCTTTAGATATAGCTAGTAGCCCAGTCTGATCTGCAACTCAGTGTAATCCTACCTTAGCTTCCCAATTGCTGAGATTACAGTCCTCCACACCTGTTTTATTTTTTACTTATCTTTGAGATAAGATCATGCTCTTTTGTCCAGGCTGGCCTCAAATTCCCACTTCATCCTCCTCACTAGTTGGAACTATAAACATACATCACTACTCCGAAATGGCCTTTTTGAAAAAAGAAAAAAGGTTTCTGAAACAGGGTCTCTTCTAGACCAGAGTGGCCTCAAACTTGCCATGTAGGCAAGGATGGCCTTGAACTTCTGATTCTCCCAGCTGGAACTACAGGACTGCATTGCCAGGCCAGTTTATACAGTGTTGGAGATGAACTAAGGGCTTCATGCATGCTGAATGGACATTCTGCAAACTGACCCACATCCGCAACCTTTTAGTAGCTTTTACAAGATATATTTATATATGCATGCATGTGTGTCTGTGTGCACCAAGTGCATATGTGTGCCCACTGGAGACAGACCCCACTTCTCTGTAAGAGCAGCACATGCTCTCAACTGCTGAGCCGCCTCCCCCGCTGCTAATGACCCTGTACACTGGGACAGAGCGAGCACTCCCAACTCAGTGCACCACCTCTGGGACATGGGAGCTCACTGTGCTATAATTAATCTCTCATCTTAAAAGTGGCAGAAGTTGGAGATTTCATGTTTCTGATGGTGTCTGCCCGCAGTGCTTTTCATGTTAGCACTCGCACTAAGTGGACAGCAGACAGTGTGAAAACAGACTGAGATTCTTTCTTTTCTTCTCTCTTCTCCCCACAGCACAACTATCTTGCTCAGGTCACATCCAATATCTGGGGAACCAAATTTAAGATTGTGGGCTTGGCTGCGTTCCTGCCAACCAACCTCGGTGCAGGTAAAGACTCACTCCATTTTCTTATTGTCCCACTTGGAAATCAGAATAAAAGTTGCAATTTCAACCTGTGACAGCTTAAAGTAGAAAGTGAGCTCTTAAGACAGTACAGGATTGGTGTGTCTGTCACCCTGACTCCAGCTACTGTGATGTCAGAAAGACAGACCTGTACTTACTGGGTTTTGTTCCCGGCACTTTTATTTTTTTCCCCCTGAGAAGCTCTGTTATGAAACTAGTTAGCGTAGCCAGAATCTCTAGAAGACATTGTCCATTGTGAGCAGATTCAGGTTCCAGGGTCCAGGTCTTGAGGCACAAGGAACTTCTAAAGAGAAGGAAACAGGGCCTTAAAGACCAGGGAGTTAGTCGGCTGTTAAGAAGTACATGTTTATCAGTCTTGTTTTTGTCATCTGATAAACATCCTGCCCATGACGGTTTGAGACACAGAAGGAAATGTATGCATGGGGAGTGGAGGCTGGGCCAGAGCCCAGTCTGTGGTCTTCATCAGAGTCGCTACCCAAGTGAGCAGTAGTATCTCACTGCCCTTACCTCAGGGGTGGGGAGAGGTGGGAGTGCTGCCAGGGCCTGCCCATGGCAGGCGGCGACCCTCTGCTTGCTGGGCCTCTGGATGCATGGCTGTCGGCTGTGCTGTTCTCCCTGCCATGTGTTGTCATAGACATGCACGCACACACGCACGCACACACACATACACACACTCACACACACATACACACACTCACACACACATACTCACACACACACACTCACACACACACACACACACACACACCTCCACCTCATCTTCCAGGTCGTCTCCTTACCTCCATGCCTCTGTTGGTGAGGCCAAGTAGGTCCTGGCCCTTCATCCAGTATGTGCTCTCTGCAACCAAATGAAAATTGTTTTTCAAGAATTCTGCCTATAGAAGTTGTATCCAAACATTAAAAACCCATTTGAGATGGAGCTGCAGGGTGCGGTAGTGAGCATCTACATAGCATGCAGCAGTGAACGCTCACATCGCATGCTTGAGGCCCTAGGTGTCATCTCTGACACCATCACCTTCCCTGCAAATCAGAAGACCCATTGCCCTATGTGCACCTACAGGTGTTTGTTAAAACAGCGCTGGTCTACAGCTTTCATTGTGGAGTTTTTTAGGTCAAATAAAATTAAAGCAAGGAACATAAAATTGAATTGGATGTAGTTCTCCACCTCACTAAGTGGGGCTTGCTATGTGTGATATGAGTGTGCAGCAGTGTGCACGTGGGTGTGACCAGGAAGTGTCAAATTCATTACATGAGCAGTCGCCTTCCTTTTCCCTAATTCGTTTTCTTCCTCAGCACAGCTCTCTTGCCTGCACAGAAAGTTTGTCACAATATTTCAATAACATGGAAACCCTCTGATGACCACAAAAATGTTCTTATTCACCTGTGTCTTGCTAACTTGTTTAAATAACATTACCTCCATCTCAATAAGCTGAAAGCTTTGCCTTCCTAAAATAAAGATTGGGATAAAGAAAAGTTATTTATTTATTGACCCTTCTTTTATGGTAGGTAGATCCACAGCTAAGCCAATAAGGATCTTAAACAAGAGCAGGGGTGTCTTCGGGGCCCACGCTAGTCCAATGTGAGTTGTTCTCCTAATCACTTACTTTTAAAAAAAAATTATGTTCTGCCAGGCGGTGATGGCACGCACATGCCTTTAGTCCCAGCACTTAGGAGGCAGAGGCAGAGGCAGGTGGATCTCTGTGAGTTCAAAGCCAGCATGGCCTACATAGTGAGTTCCAGGGCATGCTCCAAAACTACACAGAGAAACCCTGTCTCCAAAAACCCAAAAAATTAAATAAATAAAATTCAATGTGCATTCGTGTTTTGCCTACACATATGTGTGTGTGTGTGTGTGTGTGTGTGTGTGTGTGTGTGTGTGTGTGTGTGTCAGATCCCCTGGAACTGGAGTTACAAACAGTTATGGATTGCTCTATGGGTCCTAGGAACTGAACCTGGGTCCTCTGGAAGAGAAGCCAGTGCTCTTAACTGCTGAGCCATCTCTTCAGCCCCATAATCATTGACTTTTTAGAAAAGGGATTTGGTTTGTATAGTTGCTATTGCCAAGCTTAAAGAATTCTTCATTCGATTATATTAGAGAAGCCAAGTTTTAGATTGAAGAAAGTATGCTACTCATGTTACCTTGTTAATCTTTTCAAATACAATAGATGATGCACTAATGGGCTTAGAAAGTTAGTATCCCCTATGTTTAATAATGTCTCCATCCGTTAGAACAGACTTCGCCCATGAAATGAGAAAGCGATCCTGAGAGGAGGGAGGGACAGAAAGAGGGTCATGGTAGCCAGCACCTCACCACTACTGACCTCTCTGTCTTCATGGCCCCGCCTCCTCCATCACCGTCCTGAGATGGGCTCACTGTGTAGCCCTCCGCCCTCTTGTTAACTTGCGTCCTCTGCTGGTCCAGGGGGAAAGCCACACACTTGCAGGGTCATGTCCCACATGGCCCTGATGTGTTTGCTGGTGACCCCAGAAGCTCATTGCTGTGCCTGGGCTTGCCCACCTTTGTCCTCACCGTTGGCCTTCATTAAGTCCTGTGACCATGGGTACACAGAGCCATGGTGTCTGTGATGACCCATGAATCTTCTTTATTCTTAATTTTTCATGTAGCTTGAGGGCTACATAGAAGCTATATTAAAGGGGGACATATAGTTTAAAAAGTAATAATAATAAAACTTCCCATCATTATTGTAGTCTACTGAGTTTTTCTCCCCTGTAGACAAGTGGTATTTATAATAATTCCTCAATTTAAAAAAAAGTTCCTTTATTGATCTAATAAAGAATAGCTCTTTTGCACTAACTCATAACAATATAGAACTTTCCCACCAAAATTCATAATTTGTATTGTGGACAAGAGTGATGAGACTGTGAATAAAGCTTCTCTTACTTTTGGGTAGGAAAAGACACCTCTTACAGAGGACTCAGCAGAAGCTGCTGCTTCTGGAGCAGCACTGGTTTGTCAGGCCGAGCTAGTTGAGGGACAGTGGCAGAGAGAGGATGAGGCGTCTCTTACGAGCAGGCTGAGTACGAGTGTCTCCGTGCGCAATGTCATGGGACGGAAGAAGCTTTAGACATAAAGGATGGGCCACAAGGGTTGCTCAGTGGGTCAAGGCACTTGTGCAAAGGCTGGGAAACCTAAGTTTGATGCCCTAATTTTATGAGATGGTGGGATAGAACTAACCTCACATGTGTGTCATGGCACACATGTATCTGCATGTATGTGCATATAGACAAGCACACATACACAATTAAATTAATAGTATTTAAATATAAAAGAGTTGACAAAAATGTAACATTTTTAACCTGCTTATGAAACTTAGATTTATATTTTTTCAATTAATTTTATCCCTTCTATTTCATTTGCAACTTAGGCTTTATCCTAATTATCTGTGTTAATCAAATTAAATCTTATGGTGTAAGTAGAATCTGGAAGTCCCTGTAAGTCCCTTTGCAGATCACTAAAGGTGAAAGTCAGTGAGATAAGAGCTGAGCTCTGAACAGCAGCAGCTGTTTCTGCATCTGTGGTACCCGGCTCCCACAGACATCAGATAGCTCCTGAGCTTGCCACTCTTGGCAAAGGAGTTAAGTCTAAGGTATGTTTTTGTCATTTACAAATTGTGGTTCTGTGGACAGACTAAGAATTTTCTGATCTCACATGGCTCTGTATACATCAGCAGAAGCTAAGCACTCCACTCAAGCTCCTGGTCCAGCCTGGGTGGATCTGCCTGCCAACAGAGGGATCCATGGACCTCCCTGTCTCTCCAGCACACTGCTAAGTCTCTGACTCGCGGCTGGCATGCCTCCATTAACTGTGCTCCTTTCTCCCACCAGTCATCTATAAAACCAGCCTGCTGCATCTCCAGCCGCGGCAGATGACCATTTATCTCCCAGAAGTTAGGAAGATTTCCATGGACTATATTAACCTACCTGTCTTCAACCCAAATGTTTTCAGTGAAGATGAAGATGACTTACCAGGTGTGTCACTACATGGACTTGTCTGTCACAGTGCCTTCTTTGTGTGTCATGCAAAGGGGTAGAGTGGTGAGTCGTTGAGTGCAGTTGCTGGTGCGGTTTGGAAAGGCCCGCCTCACTCAGTAAACTCGGGGTGCTTGGGAGGAAAACCACAGTACCTGTCTTTTGTCACGAGGGCAGCTACCAGAGCATGGACACAGAGCACGTCTCACCTCGTATGTTGTCAGTCTTCTGTGCTTTCTGTTGCTTATATAAACGCCATGACCAAAAGCAGATTAGCGAAGAAAAGGATCATTTCACCTCACAGCTTACAGTCTTTGATGAAGGGACATCAGGAAGGAACTCAAAGCAGGAAGCTCGAGACAAGAGGTGCTATGTAAAGTCAGAGCTAAACTCTGTCTCAGTGTCTCCCCACCCACTGGCCTTCTTATCCCTGCTTAGACAGCGTCTCTCTGGAGACTGTAGTGCTCACAGATCCCAGCTCCTCAGGCCTGCCCTGTCTCCAGGACTCAGAGCCTTTGCATTTGAACGCCTCTTCCACCAGGCAATGCAAGCCTCCTCATAGAGGCCTGGTTGCAGTTAGAGATGCATTTAGCACACCGTTTTTAAATTTCACTTTACAAACTGTGAGCTTTAGATTTGTTTACTGTAGTGGGGCATTCTTAAAGGTTCTGCCTTGTTTACAGGTCAGAGTATTTTCCACTGGCTGCCAGGGAGTTGTGTCTAACTATTCTCAGTTACTCCAGGGCACTTGAGAAACTTGACTCTACTTCCAGCACCAGTACCTACCCTTTGATGAATGAGCTTTGGGTACTTAAGCTCGACACATGCTCTGCTATTTCAGAATCTCCAGTTTAGATACAGCTTATAATTTCCCTTTGATGTCTGTTCTTCCAGAGGCAATAAACAGCTTCCTGTACGTTCAGTTGCTGCAGTGACTACCACTGCTGTGTGTAGCCCTCAGTTGAGAGCATGGAATGCACAGCCTCAGGGCTCACAGGCAGTGGCTGTAACTCCACAGAGACTCTCCACTGCAGAGGCACATACCTAGGGCCATTGTTCCCTGGACACGAAAGACTATTTGATCAAAGGAATGACAAGAAGCTTGAGGTGGGGTCCAGATCCCTGCAGCCAGAGGATGAGCTATCTCAGTGAAGGCCCCAGGGAAGAGACAGTTACAGACCCAGAGGTCAGGCTTAACTTGATATCTGGGTGGCTGCATTCTGCTATTTGGGTGCAGAGTCAGACAACCTATATAATGAGCCTGTTAGAACCTGTTTGCTGCTCAGTTATTCATTTCTGTGCAGCATTGACACCAGGCTCTGAGGAAGAGACACTGCTAGTCAGTGAAGCAAAGTCGGAGCCAGCCCACTGCCACCAACACGGGCGCAGACTGTGGCTCTGAGCACCTGTCCACAGTCACTCATGGCTTGTGAAGTGACCACTGGATAGTAAATGGAATATCCACATGCTTTTATTTGGTTGGCTATACCTTAAATGCTATTTGAAATGCTAAAAACCAGTAAATAGGGAAAGGTCATTCAGCTAATACACATAATTCTAGGGGAGTCTTTGGTTTTCCACTTTATTTTACATAGGCATTCTGTGAGTATAACCACTAAAGAGTTCTTTAGACATTTGTGTATGGTGGTATTACTTAGGCACCTGGTACCAAATTCAGAAGGTTCAAACATGTTCATTGAGATGTTCTGACTGTGCCTCAGCCCATGTTCAGCAGGCAGGCCATGCTGCAGACTCCCTGGTTGGTTGAGATGTTAGGGAAGCTTGGTGGACAGCCTCGTTGTCTCCAAGCAGGAGCATCTCAGTCTTAATAGTTTAATTTTGTTTGTAAAGGATCAGATTATTCTGTCCCAATTCTACAGCACTGTTTGCAATTCATTATTTTTTCTGTTTTTCTCCCAGTTACCGGAGCATCGGGTGTCCCTGAAAACAACCCACCTTGTACCGTGAACATCCCAATTGCACCAATCCACAGCTCTGCTCAAGCTCTGTCACCCACACAGAGCATAGGGTTGGTGCAGTCCCTGCTGGCCAATCAAAATGTGCAGCTGGATGTCTTGACCAATCAGACAACAGCTGTAGGGGCAGCAGAGCATGCAAGTGAAGCTGCCACCCAATACCCAGTTTCCAGTCGGTACTCCAACCCTGGACAGGTGATTTTTGGAGGTGTAGACATGGGCCGCATCATTCAGAACCCTCCTCAATTGCCTTTGCCGCCACCGCCACCCCCGCCACCCCCACAGGGGCCTCTGCAGCTGTCTGTGGTGGACCATGGCGATCGAGACCATGAGCACCTGCAGAAGTCGGCCAAGGCCCTGCGGCCCGTGCCTCAGCTGGCAGCCGAGGGGGATGCGGTGGTTTTCAGTGCCCCCCCAGGAGGTCCAGGTGGCAAAGATGAATCCCCCACCCCCCTACCCAGGAACTATCCCTGCTGCTCCCACCACAGCAGCACCCCCACCCCCTCTGCCACCACCGCAGCCCCCAGTGGACGTGTGTCTGAAGAAGGCCGACTTCTCCCTCTGCCCTCCCGCAGCACACTACCAGCCCCCGCTAGGCTATGAGAGGATCACCACCTTTGACAGCAGTGGCAATGTGGAGGAGGTGTGCCGGCCTCGCACGCGGGTGCTCTGTTCCCAGAGCACCTACACTCTTCCTGGCCCGGGCAGCTCTGCCACCCTGAGGCTCACCGCTACTGAGAAGAAGGTCCTCCAGCCCTGCACCAGTGCCACTCTGAACCGCCTGACTGTCCCTCGATACTCCATCCCCACAGGGGACCCGCCTCCGTACCCTGAAATTGTTAGTCATCTGGCCCAGGGGCGGAGTGCTGCTCAGAGACTGGACAACAGCCTCATCCATGCCACCCTGCGAAGGAACAACCGCGAGGTTGCACTGAAGATGGCTCAGCTGGCGGACAGCTCCCGTGCCCCACTGCAGCCCCTGGCCAAGCCCAAGGGTGGCCCCAGTGGGGCTGTGGCCCAGCTGCCGGCAAGGCCTGCACCTGCCCTGTATACCTGCAGCCAGTGCAGCGGAGCTGGGTCCAGCCCACAGCCAAGTGCAGCCCTGGCCCATGCTGTCAGCACCTCCCCGCTGGCCTCCCAGTCCTCCTACAACCTACTGAGCCCTCCTGACGCCTCCCGGGACCGAACTGATTATGTCAATTCAGCCTTCACAGAGGACGAGGCCCTGTCTCAGCACTGTCAGCTGGAGAAGCCTCTGAGGCATCCCCCACTTCCGGAAGCTACTGTCACAGTGAAGCGGCCTCCCCCTTACCAGTGGGACCCTGTGCTGGGTGAGGACGTTTGGATCCCTCAGGAAAGGACAGCACAGCCTGCGGTGCCCAACCCCTTAAAACTGTCCCCTCTGATGCTAGGGCAAGGCCAGCACCTGGATGTAGCTCGAGTGCCCTTTGTGTCTCCCAAGTCTCCAGTCAGCCCTACTGCCACCTTCCAGACAGGCTATGGCATAGGAGTGCCATTTCCAGGCAGCTATAACAACCCCTCTCTGCCTGGACTGCAAGCCCCGTGTGCCCCTAAGGATGTCCTGCCCCCAGCACAGTTTGCACAGCAGGAGCCTGCAGCTGCACTGCAGCCAGCATACCCACCCCGTCTCTCCTATTGCACCCTGCCCCCCACGTACCCGGGAAGCAGCACTTGCTCCAGCTTACAGCTGCCACCCATCGCCTTGCACCCCTGGAGTTCCTACGGCACCTGCCCGACTGTGCAGAACCCCCAGGGCACGCTCCCCTCCAAGTCCCACTTACTGGTGGAGAAGCCTCTCGTGTCCCCGCCACCCGCCGAGCTCCAGAGCCACATGGGCACAGACGTGATGGTAGAGACTGCAGACAATTTCCAAGAAGTCCTCTCTCTGACAGAAAGCCCCGTCCCCCAGAGAACAGAAAAATTTGGGAAGAAGAACCGGAAGCGCCTGGATAGCCGAGCAGAGGAAGGCAGCGTTCAGGCCATCACTGAGGGCAAAGTGAGAAAGGACGCCAGGACTTTGAGTGACTTTAACTCTCTCATCTCCAGCCCCCGTCTGGGGAGGGAGAAGAAGAAGGTGAAAAGTCAGAAGGAGCAGCTGAAGTCCAAGAAGCTGAACAAGACGAGCGAGTTCCAGGACAGCTCGGAGAGCGAGCCCGAGCTGTTCATCAGCGGGGACGAGCTGATGAACCAGGGCCAGGGCAGCAGGAAGGGCTGGAAGAGCAAGCGCAGCCTGCGGACGGCCAGTGAGCTGGACGAGTTCAAGGGCCGCAAGGCCAGTGAGAAGGAGGACGGGCGGCTGGGCAGCCAGGGCTTCGTGTATGTGATGGCCAACAAGCAGCCCCTGTGGAACGAAGCCACACAGGTGTACCAGCTGGACTTTGGAGGAAGGGTGACGCAGGAATCCGCCAAGAACTTCCAGATCGAGCTGGAGGGGCGGCAGGTAAGGAGCAAACGGGCCAGTGCTGTGGACTGGAGGAGGAAGCCCATGAAAGGCCAGGCAGGAAACGCGGAACATCTCCCATCTCTTGGGGCGCTAGCTGGTTGGGGTTCTCATCATCAGAGTGCCTTCTGATGCCTGCTCATGTACTTTAAACCCAAGTGATGCACACATCACTAGTCTGATGACCCTGTGAGACTAGAAAGACCACAGGCCCCACCCATTCCCTGGCCGGCTCGTCATTCAGGTGCAGGTTTCTCCTAGAGTTTAGGGTTTTCTGGATCTGTTATTATATCTGCAAAGAGCGTACATTTTTATTACTGATATTTGTATTTTTGCCATTGTGTATTGCCCTCCTCCTCCTTCTGTGGATTGTGCGCCCTGCTTCCCTCAGGAGCTGGCAAACCTGGTTACCTCTTTCCTGCTTTTTCGTTTTGTGGCTTTGCTTCCCCCAAGACAGTGCAGTTTGGATAGACAGATATCGTATATATTCTCAGCTGTTCCTCACCAGCTGTGGAGAAGTGTTACCCCCCCATCCTCCCTACCTCATATGTACACGTGAGAACCGGCCCCACTTTCCCAGGTTAAGCTGCAGGCATTGGTGACACTGCATCATGTCATGGGAGTCATGGCTGATCCTTGGGTGAGCGTTTCCTAAATGTTTTAATTGCCTAGTTACTGTTTGCTTGTGTCTCTGTTTATGGCTAATTCACCCTCTAGTTCTCTAATAGGAGGCAGTCTTCTCGGTGCAGATCAGGACCGTAGACGACAAGCCATGTCTCTTACAGCACAGTGGCCTCTGTAACCCTCACTTCCCTTCACCCTTGACTACCCTGAGAAGTCCGTCCATCTTAAAATTTCATTTTTGCCTGATTAACTCATCAAATACTTTTACTGCCGGCAGTTTCGAAGCCAAGAATTGGCATACTGACCCATGGATTAATCTAGACCCTTCCCTCTGTTTACAAATAAAGTTTTGTTGAAACACAGTTCTTTCTGCTCAAGTCTACAACTACTTTTATCTAACATAAGCAAAGTTGAGTGGTTCTACAAAGTATTAATTACAGGCCTAACATGTTTGTCAGCATTTTACAGAAAGCTTGCCAGCCCTTATTCTAAGTGGACTTAAGAGTATTGAAAGACATGGAGGTAATTGTTCTCGTGTGTCTTTCAAAATGGGAAAAGACTACAAAGAAGTAAGTGTGTACCCTATGCTGTGATGCTGTAATCTCATGTTCCGAGGCCATAGGAAGGGCCAAAGTCACAAGTTGAGCAGGACAAGGAGGAACATGGTAGAAAGGAGGCCGTGATATTCTAGAGAGGTGACAGGGAAGCCTGCTCTGGGGCAAAGACCTTGGACACAGTTGGCACATCTCTGGTCTCTCTCAGAAGGTGAAGTCTTCTTTCGTCGTCCCTGGGGAACCCACTTTATCGCCCCTGTAGCTCTCGTGCGAGCACCTGGCCTCCCCTTGCATTATCAACCATGACCCTCTGTCCTCTCCTACACACCTATAGTCAGCTCTAGGAGCCCCCAGACTCAGTTTTGTGGGTTTCTGGAGCTCCACTGGACAGTGCTCTCTGCTTCCCTGGGAGTTGGCACCTCGGCTGTTTGCTGGCTTTTTCTTCCAGTCATGGGTTTGCTCTCTGCACCTCTTCCCTAGGTGATGCAGTTTGGACGCATTGACGGGAACGCGTACATCCTAGACTTCCAGTACCCCTTCTCAGCTGTGCAGGCTTTCGCTGTGGCCCTGGCCAATGTGACTCAGCGCCTAAAATGAAGACAGATGCAGGAGGAGACGTGCCAGGGCCTTCGGAGGGAGATGTGCTGCTACTACCCAGGAGGACCAGAGACACCGGCAGTAGAAGAAGCCAGCAGGCCAGAAGGGTGCTGATCGCTAGGCATGGTCAATTGTTGAGTTATCCTTTGTCGTCCCTCCTTTCTTCTTTTGATAGAGTGGTATTTGGAAGCCAAGAATTTGAGGTATCTTGTGTTCTTGAAGGCAATGTAGCTTGGCTATAGAATGTTTTACTGATTTACTTTTCAGTGACTAGGACAAGGGCCTTTGGAAAGAAGACAGATTGCTTCAAGCCTGCTCTTTTAGATGTACGGAGTGTGTATTAGTGCTCATTCTTCATCTTTTCTGCCCTCTGTTGCCCTTCTGACATTATCCCTAGTGCAAAGTAATTTTTTTCAACACAACCAAAACTCTGGAAGATTCAGCTTGTCTTGTGAGGGAGGACAGTGATTAATTCGCACGTATGTGCTGCTCACTAGGAGGTACCTGTATGAATGAAGGACATGCATGCAAATGCCCTTTGCTGTGCTCATGTAAGCCAAGGTCAATGGTGCTGCCACCAGTGTGAAAGTGACTTGGCAGGCGGTGTGCGAGGGGAGAGATTGCCGTGGGGACAGCCTCACATCACTCTGCAGACCCTGGGTGAGCTGGTGGGGTGACTGGTAAAAAGGGCTGCTCTCTCGAGGGTACACGAGTTTTTCGTGTCAGAGTCCCACCTGACTTTGGGAGGTCAGGGCCGCCAGTGGCCAGATCCAGGCTGGGGCAGAGCTGGGCTTCTGTCACAGTCATTAGACTGGTCAATCACCAGATACCTCCACTGTCTACTCCTTTGGAGCATTTTACTGGAAACATCTTTCTCTTTAGGTCTCATGGCTCTGTGTTTTCTAAAGTGTGAGTGGGACTTGATTTGAAGTTGCACCCTTCCTTCCCTCGGCCGTATTAAAGTTGATTTGAATGCTTCCCTCAGTTATAAGTGCAGTATCTGCGCACTTCCCAGGATATTAAAAGACAGGGATGTGGTCAGATCTTGGGGAAAGCTCCGCAGTGTTCTTTCTGTAAGGGAGAAAAGAACTGTCTTTGGTGCATAGACTGTGCTAACGGACGGACCACTGGAGAAGGCGTGTTGCGACGTCAGGCTTAGGGAGTTGGCTCTTTATACTTCACTCTGATTGTAGACTCTTTGCCCACTTCCTTCTCCTCGTGGGAACACGCCTTGGGCGAGTATCCAAGCCTGATAGTAAGAGCCCGTCTATGCTGTAGTTCTTACCTGTGATGCTGTTCATTACCAGAGCACAAGAACTGCCTGCTGCCTTTGACTCATAAGTTGGGGTTTTATTTGAAAACTGACAAGTGGAAGATGCTAGAGGAAAACTATTTTGACCTTAAACATTGTTTTGTGTTTTTGTTTTTGTTTTTCTTGTGTTTGGTTTAAGAATTAGAAGAGAAACTGATTTCTTTATCTAGGCAAAATTAAGTCACTCATCATTCTTTCCAAATTCCAAAGAAATGTTGACAAGGACATCTCCCAGCTGATACTGGAGTTTTCCACTGTATAATTTAAAGTATGGGAGCTGATTCTTAGGTGGGTCAGTTGTCCCAGAAAGAGTTGAATAGTATGTTGGGAATTACTGTGCTGGTTTACGTAAATTTCTGTTGCTTAATAAGGTGTTTCAGTGCTTATCATTAGTTGTGCAATGTCGTTGTAGTCTTTGAGTTTATGGAGTAACTTAAATGCAATTTCCTTTGTTTTGTTGTCTAAGATAGTTATTTATCTTACTCTTTATGGTATTCAAGGGAACTATTTTGTTGCTATGTATTGGTGATTTATGCCAAATTTATTATTTATTTAGAAAAATAGTACCTTTGTAATGACTTACTTGGTGGCAATATATTTTGCTGCTAAAAATAAAGAGAATATGACAGAACAGTTTTTTGCTGAGTAATTTGTGACTTTCTTGAGAATTGGGAGAAAATCCTTTAATCCCTTAAAAAATACATTTGTGCTTTATCTCGGTATTGATTATATGCAAAATAGGCTGTTTCTTTGACCTACCATAACCTGAGATAGTATTTCTCCTTATTTTGAAAATTTTAGTTAAAAGTAAGAAGCGAGAGATCCCTGAGATAAGAGTAGCAAAAAAGAGACCTTAATAATCTTCACTCATTTTTTTTTAGCTCAAACTGGGTTTTTGCAGAACCTGCAGAAGCCATTCTTTATAACTGTGCTAAATAAAATCAAATATGGAGGAAGTCATTCCTAAAAGATACTTTCCATCCATGGGAATGCAGGCTTCCTGTCTTTAGTGAGACTTGGCCTGTGAGCTGCCACCCAGTCTGCTCCTCTCCCAGGCTAAGGAGTGAGTCTGGGTGCCACACATGCCCTAAGCTGCTGGCTGCAGCAGTTGTAACACAGTGTCACTTAAGATATTGGCTTCTTTTAAAAATTGTTTCATCCAGTCAACATCATTTGATTCGATTCTCCTCAAGTTTAAACAGAATTGTAGATACTTCATGGCTATAATAGCAATTGTGAATGTCGCAGTGTCTCATTAGATCCCTAAATTTAAAAAGTCAGCTTCATAGAGCCTTGCACGAAAACAGTATATTAGTAAACAGAAACCAGCCTTAGGTTTTGTTTGACTCTAACCTCATCACAACAGAGGTCATGGATGTTAGTGCAATTACCCATTTCAATCTGTATCCTGAGAAAAACTGGACCAGTGAGTCTAGAAATACTCAGAGCTCTAATGGACATAGGAAGCAAAAGCTTTTGTGTATTGGTAATTTTCACCCATAGCCCTGCTCCCTTGTGTAATGCCCATTCTGTAATCAAAGGTCAGGGGGTCAGGGTCGAATTGCTCTGTCACAGGGCTGGAGAGTACTTTGAGCGAGTCCCGGGGGGGTACCTGGCCTACTTTGTCCATCTCTTAATGAAAGGGTTGTCTACACAAATTTGAAAACTCCATTCTAGCTTCAGTAGCCTAATTCAGCAACTCATCTTCCCCTTCATGAGGGTGACAGTATGTTTCAAAACATAGTCTTTTTGTAGGAAAAGAAAAAGGTTTTTTATCCTGAGGTGGAGCTGTCTACTTGAACAGAAACCAGCACCCCTAAAGTGTGTTTGGAATCATCTTTAGTCTACTAAAATTACAGAAGCTCCAAATCCAAGTACAGTGTAAGTTCCTGTGAGTGTGCTTTCCCTCAGTGGGCACCCTTAAGTAAAATAAGGGACTGTGTGTGCCTCAAATTGAGGGCAGGCCGAGAAAGGAGTGTTCACAGCCTGCCTCCTTTAGAGCATTCGTGTGCAAGAGAGCTGCATCTTCTCATTCAAAAGACTTTCTGACAAAGGGGCCTGTGGGATGGGAACCTGTGCTGTCCCTGTGTGGGCTGTGGATGGGTTGACAACATTAGCGGGGCTCCAGCTGTCAGTTGATTTCCTGGGACCTTATGGTAGCATACAGTTCAGAACTCTGCACCACTGTGTGTGTCTCCTGATGAACTCTGGAGGCTTGTGGGTTATACTGTTTCCATTTTTACCCCCAGCTTTGTGCAGTTTTCTTGTGACTTTAACTGAGTCTGTATTTTCTGTTTACAAGTTGTTTTAAGGGGAAGGGTCGGGTTTTAAGATCTTGTTTATTGTAGATAATTTTTTTCTCGTGTTGTAGAAAAGCATGGGTTATACATTTGAGTGAAAAAAGGCCCTGTATTACTTACCAAAGGTGTGTTGTATCCATTTGTTCATAAATGCATTATTTTAGTACTGTAAATTTGGGCGGAATTTCCACGTTCTCTACTCTTGCTACTGCTGGCTTCTACCTTCCCCCTCTCTGACTTTTCAATGAATGTGCATTGTGGGGTGCATGGGTCACAGACCCAACGAGACCACCAGCATGTTCTTGTCCACACTTGGGGAACAGCGTGCCCTGTTGTGCACACATCAGCCCCTCCCTGCCCTGCTGTTGTTTATTTATTATTTTGTTTTTAATCCAGCATCTTGCTTTGTTTAACTTTCCAGACAAGATCTGTTGAGAGTCACCCTTGCTTCTCAGTGAACTCTCCTTTATTTGCCTATCTTTGTATGTACTTTGTATACGCAATTGTGCAGGAAGTTTCTAGAAGGGATTAATAGTTTGCATTCAAAATGGTGTAGTTTGTCCAGATTACTTTGCCTTTATTGTTGAGATGAGATACTCTCTTTTTTTTCCTTGATGATTTGAAATTGTAATTTGTCCAGCTGTTGCTTAATAAAATTTTGCAGATCAAAAAAATTACATGTGTGCCAAGGTTGAATTATGGGTCTTGGGTCATTTGAGAAAAAAAAATTAACCTCCTTTATTGGCATGACCTTCTGACCCATCCCTGCCCCCAGTTGCTGGCTTGGGAAATGCCAGCATGACTGAAAACCCTGAAATGTCCCTGTCCGTCCATTCCACTGCTGAGTTTGAGGGGTCAGATTGTGTTGTTTGCTTGGTGAATTGTTTTGACTTCTTATTTCTTCTTCCTTTTGAAAGAATTCCCATTAGGAATATTTGTATAATCTTAGATGACACTGAGTTTACCAGATCATGTAACCTGATCTGTGCTGCTTATTAATTTTTTTCTAACACATGTTTAGTGCTGGGATTAAAGGCCTGTGTCACGCCAGGCTCCCAGTTTCCCACCCCTGTTTAGTAATAATAACCTGTTTGTAACCAGTCACCTAGGAGGGAAGACGGACGGGCCGCCCTTGCCCTTGCGGAGGTGTTCCCGTGTCCGTCCTTTCACATGTGGGTCTTCGAGCTCCGAAGCTGTGTCACCGGCTGTGTTGTACAGCCAGGCCTCGCAAGGGCACAGATCAATGCACGTTTGCTTCTCTGCACTTCTTAGAAACATCTGTGCTGTCTGCTGAACGTCCAAAGCTATCCGTATGCCAAGCAACCTGGCTCCTGGTGTCTTTTTAAGTCTCCGCCAGACGGATGGCTTCAAGTGAAGAAGGTGACTCCACTGTGGAGCAGAAGCCAGCAGGAGCCCAGTGTCAGGTACAGACAGTGCACACCCCCTTCCGTTTTCTTCCCTGGGTGTCCTGCTCCGTGCTCTCTCCACAGGGAGGTGTGCTCCTGCACTGTGCAGGATATGAAAACCAGCACTCTGTTCTCTCGAGTCGGCGGGAACCTTCAGTGAAGCTGGAGACAAGGTAAGAGAGCTCCTGGGGAGTTACAGAACCATAAAAGTGAAGTGACTGCCAGTGTTACTGAGAAGCGAGTCTGGAGGATTTATTCAACTCCAGCTTGTTTCTCTCGGTCACACGCAGTCTGAAGCTCCTCCAGCTCAGCGCTTGAGAGACTCAGGAGTCCCATTTGCCCCTGTCGCCCGTGCTCCTCTGCAGGCGCTCTTGCAGTCACTCATCAAACGCCCAGCTATGGCTGCCTCGCTCCCCTCCACAACACCCCGAAAGACGGAGGAAGCGCGATGGATAGTGGCTGGATGCATAGCAGTCCTCAGCCGCTATCCCAGCCGCCTCCCCTGGGCAGGGCCAGCCAGCCCTCCCCTCCTGGGCTCTCGGGGTAGACAGGTCCTGGGGTCACCCTGATGCCATTCCCGTTCTTTGATGGGAACCGAGGCTGCCATAGCTCTGTCAGCTCTTCCTTGGACTAAAGAAGGTCTTAATGATTCCTCCTTTGACACGAAACGTCCCGAGACGTTACCTCATGGATCTGGTGTTGAACCTACCAACGTCTTGCACAGTTCCTCTTCACAGGTCACGGAAAGCTGAACCTGACCCGTTTGGGTTGGCTTTTGTTTTGCTTTGTGTTGTCTGGTTTTCTGTCCTCCAAGTGAAAATGCCAGCAGCCCAAACACCAGAGTACAACTCAGGTGACGCCCCTGTAGGAGGGTTGTTCTCAAGGGATGTACTTCTTTCTGGGTGCTGTCGGGATCCGAGATCCTGACTTCTGCTTCCTGCCTTTCTCAAGCCCCTGCTGCTTGACTGGAGGAGGCTAGGAGTATGGTTTCTTACCAATGGTGGATGTTCCAGCTCCTTTGTTGTGAAAGTGTGTAAAACCACTGCTCTGGCCCTCACTCATCCAGTAGAAGAGTCAGTCCCTGCTTGGGCCTCTTCTCCAGCAGTTACGGGAAAAGTTTCAAGCAAGCCCAAGTGGTGTCTTTGATGACCACAGACCTCACCATGTAGGCTGGGAAGGGCAGGTTGTAGGTCATAGCTTGTAGAACTGTTAGACTCTGATCCATCCCAGGCCCCTAGGAGTTAAGCCTCAGCTTCTTCCTGCCCATCAGTTCCCAATTGCAAGGGTCTCCCCTTGCTTAAAACGCTTCCTCGCCTGAGATGAGCTTATAAGCTTTTAACCACACCTCCGAGCAGATGCTAAGCTGCAAAGCTAACTTTAGCTCCATGGAAGCTGGCAGGAGAGTGAGCGCTGAAGGGGACTCCCACACGCCAGGGGCTGCCTTCCAGACCCTGGATTAGGCACAACCACACCCAAACACCTGTTTCCACAGAGAGATCCTTTACTAAAGAGGGAAGAGAAGTTACAGCGGCTCATTTCTGACCCAGGCAGAAAAACAGCGATGGCCTTGCAGGTGTCCTTCTGAAGAGAAGAGGGGGGGGGGTCTGGGTTAGAACGGAACAGGGTGTGGTGATAAAGGAAGCAGAGGGTGAGGGGGGAGGGAAGGGGACACGGGGTTGGCGGCAGGGACATCTGTCCCAGATGGACTACGTCTGCATGGAGGAGACTGATGCCGAGCATAGGCAAATGATGGTTTGTTTATAAAGGGAAGCCCCACGGTAGGATGAGGTGTTTGATTTTAAGTGGGCATGTTAATTAGGTGAGCCAAAGGGGGCTTTTGATGGTTGGGCTCTGGTAGTCAGCCTCAGGAGAGGAGGTGGTCAGACCTCGATGTCTAGCTTTAGGAATGTAATCCAATGGTTTTTAGCACGGCCCAGGGCGTGGAGGAAGAGGGCGAGAGTGTTCAGAACCAAACTCCCGCATGGACTAGTGTCCTCCACATACAGCTCCCAGGAAGGGTCGGTGGGTCAGGCTCACCAAAGCAGTGAGCCTCAACTTCTCTGCATGACACCTTTTATCCTGGGCCTTCAACTGCCACCAAGGCCGCGGGCGCCTTCACCAATGGCTTCTCCTGGCCTCTCTCTGTGCCAAGCCTCAGCTGCCCTCCAGGATCCCCTTGTGCCTTCAAAACCAGCACCACCAAGTCCAGCTGCCAGCATGAGGCACAACCTTGGCTGTCTCTGGAGCAGCTTCTGTGAGCTGACCCTGAGGAAACACTTCCCAGAAGATTTCACCTCAGTGATGCCGGGCTGATGTCACACAGTTCCTCAGCCCCAGCTGACCAACATCAAGTGTCCCAGAGAAGCAAAGGCTTTGCTTCAGTGGCTCTGGTCCCTTGATAATCGCAGCCAGCTGATTCTTGAGTCAGCTGACCAGAACCACAGATTATTACTTCAGATGGCCGGGTAGAGGGTTTACCTCCTTCTGAACCTTCATCGTCTGCACCGCTTTTACACACTTGCCTTCCAAGCTCCTTCAGAACAGCCCACGAGGCCTCAACACTCAGTGGCTCTTCTAGGCCAAAGTCCTTCCACAGTCCTCCCAAAGACAGCTGTGACGAAACATAACCAAGGCGACCAGAGGAGAAAAGAGCCATTTGCCTTATGCTGGCACATCTCTGTTAATCACCGAAGGAGGCAGGAGCTGATGCCGAGGCCAGGAAAGGGTTCTGCTTACTGGTTGTGTGCTTGCTTATAAAACTGAGGACCACCAGCCCAGGATGGCCCCACCCACATGGGCTAGGCCCCGCCCCGTCAAACACTGAACAAGAAAATGCCCTGCAACAGGATCTTATGCAGGCATTTTCTCAGCTGAGGTCCCCCCTCTCGGATGGCTCTAGCTTGCGTCAGAACAATGAGAGGTGAGAGCAGGGGGAGGTCAGACGTCAGTGTGGTTCTAAATTGTGAAAATGTAAGAAGCAGGTCACTGTCTACCGACCCAGTTTCCATACCCATTAAGCCTGCTGGTAGAGTGGTGGGTGTTCACTGTGAGGGGCTACTTGATCGGGGCGTGGATTTGTGGTAACATCTTGCTTGTCTGAAGGTCAGATCGGGTTGAATGCTGAGAGTTTGGAGACATGAAGGAGCAAACTACAGCCACCTTACCTCCCCTTCCCAGCTGAAAAGACTGAGCTCCTGTCCCCTCCGGCCTTACCACCTCCTGTCTGTCTGCAGACCTCCAGGCCTCCATGGTTAACTAGTGGCTAGCCCTGCCCTCTGACTCTGGGATTTTATTGTTAAGACCTGTTAGAAGTCATGCTACATGGATTTCATTCCCTGGTGCCCCAGCTGCACTGGACCCTGCTGCTGAGTAAAAGTTATGCCCTGCCCATGCCAGCGCAGCGTTCCCTGATGTGGGCCTGGCCTTCATGCGGCTCGCCCGAGGAAAGCGCCGAGGACAGTGATGTGCCACCCAGTGCTTACCAACCGCCACTCCAGAATCAGAAGTGTGAACAAAAGCTTGAGTGATACACATGCACCCAAGCACCCCGAATCAGGATATGATTATAAATAATAAAGTATGCAGTGCACTTCCATCGGAACCCACGTAACCAACTTACCGGTGCAGAAAGCTCTTGCCGGCCATTTTTCTAGCAACAACCTTGGTTCCAGTTGGCAGTTCCAATATGAATGTTGGTTGATATTTTCATGTTCATTTTTAAGTGAGACAAAAGTAGAAAGCGTGTGTTCAGTGAAACGTCTGGAATGCGGTTGTAACCTCCCTCAGGTGTTCAGTGGCAACTTCTTTGTCGCTCTGGATAGTCATTTGTTAATGTGAGGCAGATACAGCATTCATGTAACTCCCCTGACTCTTGTTTGTTTCCCATGAAAACAGGAGTCATGGGCAAGGCCTGGTGGCATCGAAGCCATCAACCCAGCTACCATGGAGGCTGAGGCAGGAGGATTGCAGGTTGAAGGCAGGTACTGTCAAATAAGGGTCGGGACTATAGCTCAGTGATAGAGCGTTTAGCTAACATTTACACAGCCCCAGGCTCATACTTAAGTCTGGTGTAAAGCAACCTGAGGTGTAACTGTCCCACCATAGTCCATTCCCAGAGGTCCCTGAAAGGGGAAGTGGCCGCTATGCAGTCAGCAGCACTTTTCAGATTCCTGGAAAACTCTCTGGGTTGCTTGGAAGCGATCCCAGCGTGTCTGAGCTGATGTGTGTGTGTGTGTGTGTTTCAGACCCCAAACAGGCCTGTCTCAGAT